AGAAAACGATGTTTCCTGATTGGATTTGCCCAAAAACCTCAAATACGAAAAATAACTGTTTTTGGCCAAAAACCATGGACTAACCCCTTTGGAAAATTTGGATTTTTTGGACTTTTTTAAAGCTTGTCTTTTCTTGTCTAAAAATCATTCTTTTCTTTAAAGAATATCAAAAAACGATCTTTCCTTACTGGTTTTGCCCAAAATCTACAAATGAGAAAGATAGCCATTTTTGGCCAAAACCCATGGACTAACGCCTTTGAAAAATTTCGATTTTTTGGATTTTTTAAAAAAATAACTTTTCTTGTCTAAACAGAATTCTTTTCTATCTAGGACATCAGAAAACGATGTTTCCTGATTGGATTTGCCCAAAAACCTCAAATACGAAAAATAACTGTTTTTGGCCAAAATCCATGGACTAACCCCTTTGGAAAATTTGGATTTTTTGGACTTTTTTAAAACTTGACTTTTCTCGTGTGGAAACGATTTTTTTCTGTTCCGAATATCAAAAAACGTTCTTTCCTCGCTGGATTTGGCCAAAAACCACCATTGAGAAAAATGGCCATTTTTGGCCAAAAACCATGGACTAACCCCTTTGGAAAATTTTCTATTTCTTGGACTTTTTTAAAAGTTGATTTTTGTTGTCTAAAAAGAATTCGTTTCTATCCGGAATATCAAAAAACTATCTTTCCTGACTAGATTTGCACAAAAACCTCAAATGAGAAAAATGACCATTTTTGGCCAAAAACCATGGACTAACCTTTTGCAAAAAGTTCGATTTTTGGACTTTTTCCTTGACCTATTTTGTCCAAAAAAGGAGAATCTAAAATTTTCCATTTTTAGGCAAAAACCACGAAAATTTTCAATTTTGCGACCTATCAAAAATCACCAATGTTATAGTCTAAAATAGCTTGTTTATCATATGAAACATTACCGAATATATTCCCATTAAATACTTTGCCCGAAAAGAAAAAGGTTCAGTCAGTCCAATTTTTGACCAAAATTGGGTTATCTCCTTTGAAAAATTCCAATTTTGCAACCATTCAAAAATCGACTTTTTGTAATCTAAAAAGCTCGTTTTTTATATATAGAATATTGCCAAAGACATTTCTTTGACCTGTTATGTCGAAAAAGAAAAATTTTTAAGTGTTCCAAGTTTTGGCTAAAACCATGAGTTAACGCCTTTGAAAAATTCCTATTTTCGACTAAAAAAATCAGTAATTTTTTAGCTTGCAGTTGCTTCTTCCCTACGTAGAATAATACCAAACACATTTCGTTGATCTATTTTGCCCAAAAAGACATAATTTAAAAAGCTTCCAATTTGTGAGCCAAATCATGGGTTAGCCTCTTTAAAAGATTGTAATTTTGCGACCATTTAAAAATCGACTTTTTATAGTCTAAAAAAGCTTGTTTTCCGTGTAGATTATTACCAAACACATTTCCTTGACCTACTTTTTCCATAAAGAAAGAATTTAAAAAATTTTAATTTTTGCCTAAAACCATTGGTAAACCCCTTAAAAAAATTGAATTTTGAGATTTTTTTTAAAAAACGCCAATTTCATTGTCTAAATAGGTTGTTTATCACATGAAAACATTACCAAATACATTTCTTTTAACTATTTTGTTCAAAAAGAAACAGTTTACAGTTTTTTCAATTTTGGACCAAACTCATCGGTTAACCCCTTCGAAAATTTTCGATGTTTGCGACCTTTCAAAAATCAACTTTTTATAGTTTAAAGTTGGTGGTTTATCGTTTGAAACATTACCAAATACATTTCTTTTCACTATTTTGTCCAAAAGGAAACAGTTTATAGTTTTCCAATTTTTGACCAAAATCATGGGTTAACCCCTTTGAAAAATTCTAATTTTGCCACCATTCAAAAATTCGCTTTATGTAGTCTATAAAAGCTTTTTTTTTCAGGCAGAATATTACCAAACACATTGCTTTGACCAATTTTGTCTTCAAAGAAAGAATTTGCAAAATGTCCAATTTTTGACCAAAATCTTGAGTTAACCCCTTTAAAAAATTCCAATTTTGCGATCATTCAAAAATCGACCTTTTTATAGTCTAGAAAAGTTTGTTTTCCATATAAAAGATTACCAAACACATTTTGTTGATCTGTTTTGGCCAAAAAGAAAGAAGTTAAAGTTTTACAATTTTTAACCAAAGCCTTTGGAAAATTCTTTTTTTAAAATATTCAGAAACCACAACTTTTGTAGTCTAGAAAGGCTTTTTTTCCTCATAGAACATTCCCAAACACATTTTCTCAGAGAATTTTTCACAAAAAGAAAGAATTTTGAAATTTCCAATTTTCAACCAAAACTGTGGGTTAACCCTTTTGCAAAATTCCTATTTTTCGACTATAAAAAAATCAATACTTTATAATTATAGTCTCGAAAGGGTTGTTTTGTATATAAAAGATTACCAAACGCATTTCCTCGACCCATTTAGCCCAAAAGGAAACAATTTTTGACCAAAATCATGGGAAAATTCCAATTTTGCTACCATTGAGAAATCGACTTTTTTATATATAGTCTAAAAAGGCTTCTTTTTATATAGAATAGTAACAAACAAATTTTCTTTGACCTTTTTGTTTTTTTACTAAAACAACGTCCTATTTTCCCACTATTAACAAATCGATACTTTTATAGCCTAGGAAGGCTCGTTTTCTATATAGAACATTACAAAACACTTTTCCTATAGGAATAAATGTTACAAGAAAGTTATAGAGTAGCTGGAAACAACAATGTTTATTTACCATATGATTATTTAAAATACAAAACTACGCTAAAGTTACATTATAAATTCCGTTGTTGTAAACCATATTTGGTAGACAACATGCGCACAACTTATCAAGAGCTGTTCAGTCATCTTAAGTCTCTCAGACGTAAGGGAAATGGTAAACGATGAGTAGGTTCATACGTATCATCTACCAAGCTTTAACAACAGGTTTGCTATTTACTATTGTTAAACCTAAGTTTCTTTTATTAAAGCTTTAAATCAGTTCAATCGGGAATAATACGATTTTCTACTGGTAATAACGCCCTGTGTTTTGTGCCTTCTTTTAATATCAGGTTAAATAATATTACAGCCAAATATTACAATTAACCGCAAAACTAACCCTATGATTACATAAACGACAAACAAGTCCAACGTAATGCTTAACTCTTTCACTGCCAGAGTGCTCGATGGAGTTTTGTAAGGTGACTTTAACTCTTAAGTCTGCAGATGAAATCTTATGATGTGACCATTCAAATGAAACCTCATCAGTAGTGCTTTCACATTGTGCTATTTGTTTTTCAAAATTTCACAAAATGAAATTTGGAAACTTCGCTCGAAATTTGCTCTTGGCTAAATCTGGCAGTGAAAGGCTTAAGAGCATTGTTTATTATCCCTTTAAGTCTCAAGAGTGACCAACATCAATTTTCTCTTTACAATATAAATAGATAATCAAGACAAAAGGCGAGAATTAATAAAATGATCATCTGAGGGAAAATGCTATGATCTTGAAACCAATTCTCTCAACAGTTTCAAGGAAATGTATGGAGATTAGTACGGAGAGTTTTTCTGTAGATATTGGGCTTAAAGAAATAACTAAAATTTGGTAATTGTCATAGTAAGTGGTCACTTGCAAGAGGAAGTCACCCCCTGTAAGTAGACGTTTGATTGGTGCANGCTCGAAATTTGCTCTTGGCTAAATCTGGCAGTGAAAGGCTTAAGAGCATTGTTTATTATCCCTTTAAGTCTCAAGAGTGACCAACATCAATTTTCTCTTTACAATATAAATAGATAATCAAGACAAAAGGCGAGAATTAATAAAATGATCATCTGAGGGAAAATGCTATGATCTTGAAACCAATTCTCTCAACAGTTTCAAGGAAATGTATGGAGATTAGTACGGAGAGTTTTTCTGTAGATATTGGGCTTAAAGAAATAACTAAAATTTGGTAATTGTCATAGTAAGTGGTCACTTGCAAGAGGAAGTCACCCCCTGTAAGTAGACGTTTGATTGGTGCAACACTAAAAAGTTAACAAAGTAATTACAGTACCTTAAAAAAATTATCTTAAGCACCTTTTTAAAAGAGTGCATTGTCGATGTTTTTTCTCTGGTTGCCTCCCTAACCTCTCTTAACATTTTATTTTGATTAACCTGCAACCAAATTAATATTCTGGTACTATCTAAGAAAAGGGTTATCAATTTCGATAAAATTGAGATAATGGTAATTGGCCTTGAGACGATTGGGTTTTTTACTGCTTACACTACTAGGTGGTAAGTTACTTCTTTTTTTACTTGCTTACCAAAGAAAATAGCGAAGAAAGAGCCTGACCTCAGGTTAGATGTTCAAAGCAACAGATATGCTCAAATATCCAACAAATGTCTCTCATATCTAACTGCTTTATATTGCGTATTATTATCCACTTTGCTATACTTATACGGCACAATATTTAAGGCTTGCCAATTGCGAGAACAAAACTACTTTTGCCCTCACTTTAAACAACTTTCACTCGCCACGCATTTCACCTCACCTTTAGCTTCTTTGGAAGGGGCGTACACGACTTAACTAAGAAAAATATTTCTGGACCTTGAAATATTTTGGTAGTTTCTTGGTGTTGTAGACGGGCGCCATCACCAAATGACATAATACAAAAGATTAAAAAGACACTGCACAATACTCACACTACCACACAAAGACGAACCAGCAATGGTTTCCTCAACAACAAGGAACACCCAAATATTTTCACTAACATTTCATGTATAGACCTTGAGTAATTTTAATTTTCAGTGGACAGAAACCTTGTACCAGAATAACTTAAAGCAAACGGCATTCTTTTTTACATTTTCAAGGGAAAATTCCTTATGGGAGCCACTGAAAATTAAAATTACTCAATTTTCTGGTGGATTCCGTCTCAATTCGTGGCGAACCTGATTACAATGTATTGCTCGACTATACAGGTCTCTCATTAACAAGTCCTTTTTGTACACGTGGTGATCCTGACGTTTTCAGTCGTTAAAGAATGCTGTGTTAATTCCAAACTCTTTGACGTTGAACACCTCCACGAAATGTTTGGTTCTCTCTTCCCGAGATCCTTGTAAGACATACTTGTTAGTTATGGTCAGTGCAAGTGGAGTCTGGAATAAAGCAATATTCCCATTTAAGGTTTACGGAAATAACAATACAATGACAGCTCTATCTATATATAAACATTTAACAAGTCAAATGACGCTGAGTATGATATAAAAATTATGCAGTTCGGGGAGGATGTTACCGGCCAAGGTGAAAAACACCCACCGAGACCGGAAAATAGATCATATCATACGAGAGCCAAATTCAATAGTTGTTTTTTTCATTCATTCAAAATATTTCCAAGATCATAACATCCTTACCTCCTCCACAAAGACTAAAGTTTCTTCAAAACACTTGCTTGTACCCGGCAGTTTCAGAGTGCGATCGGACGTTTTTTCACGCAGACATTCCTCAAAACGCCGTTAATATTCTTCGAGTAACATTTAGGCGTATTCTTGCTATCAGTTTTAGTCAGCAATGGACCTCTTTAGCTTGTATGTTGTTGTTTGTCTGACAAATTTATAAACCTTGCTTTACGAGGAATTACCTTTAGTCTCTGAATATTGTAAATATCACTGATTCTCTCCACAGGGGTTTGTGACGGACTGTCCTGACCCATCTTCATGCACCGTGGAACTACTCCATTTTGCACCCCTGGACGCTCCTGGTAAATCAAAGGTAGGTGACATGTCAAATAATCAATAAAGCACTGTCACTCATTTGGGTATGGCGATACAGTAAAAACCCACGACTAAGAACCTGGTTTTTAAGAACCTGTTAAGCTAAAATTTGCCAGTTAGCCTCCCCCCCCCACCCCCTCCCCCTATAGTACGCAGACAATATCATGATAAGGAATAAGCTGGATACCACTACTGAAATAGTCTTAGCTATTTAGGTTCTTAACTAGGTTCTTATTTCCTGAACCTAGTTAAGAACCTAAATAGCCCAAATTTGTGCTAATCACCATTTATGTAAGTACCTGTTTAGGCTAACTTGGGAACATGCAAACCCTTTAAACATCTTCTTAAAACACATCGTTTTAGACAGACACTTTTATGTTAAGACTAACTCAATCATTTCACCTGGCTATATCTATTGTTAGATATATTATTTTAATCGTTCATATAATTTTCATATTTTACTGTTGATTACTTCAATTAAGTATCACAAGTCACATTGTAAATGTTTTGCAGTATTTCACAGTTCGTGCAGTTTTTTTATTCCATTTAATTCAGCTTGATTAGATCATATTCATGATTATTTTGCGCTATAAAAGTATAAAAGTAATAAAATATTATTATTATTATTATTATTATTTTATTAAAAAACTATTAAAATCCTATTTACAATTACTTCGCTTAAAAAAAAAGAAAAAACTATTCATTCAAAAACACTATTTACAATTTCTGTCGATTTAAAAAGAACTCAATTTAGCTTAAAAAAATTATTATTATTATTATTATTATTATGAAGAAGAAGGGGGAAAGTTACTCAAGCGCAATTTCCTGGATAAGAGCTAAAGTATCTTTCGCCATCGTATGTTCTGCGATATTATGCTTGAGAGGCAGCTAGACTTTGTTGACTCAGACCTACAGATTGATGATATTAGAGCCTGCCCGAATTAATTTTTTTTTTAAAAAAATTAGAAATTAGGCATTTATACGAGATTTTTATTCTTTTTTAACTTGTTTTCTTCTTAATATCAGAGACGGATTGGTAATGACTTAATTTAAAACTCTGGACTGCCTGCAAGAGTTAGTGACCGCATCTGAGCCGCAAGGAATGTATTTGTGAAATCGTTTTTGATACAGTGATTGCTATTTTTATTATTTATACTATTCTTAATGTTATATAGTGCTTAATTCTTACTCCAAATATTTCTGTAAATTATGTCCATATTTTTTTAAAGTTTAAAAAATTCTTCTTCTTATTATTATTTTTATTATATTATTATTATTGTTATTATTATTATTACTATCATTATGTTATGACTCTGGAAATGAACGGGTTTTTTTTGCACGATCAACAAACAAATAGCAACATACAAAAAGTACTATTTAAGACTAAGGTTTCATCCAAATGGTTACACCATAAGTTTTTTAACAATAATAACAATAATAATAATAATAATAATAATAATTTATTAGGAAACTTTCATCACATCACTGTGGTTTTCCGAAAGGTCCTAACTGAAAAGCTACAACATTGTGTAGTCTACACTTGCTGTTGATCTACATTTTGTCAAGCTAGCTGATAAATTGGGCTCACCTGTACAACTTGTCTCAGTATGTTGGTTGTAGCTGGGTGAAAGTGAACAGTTTGAACATCCTGCAAATTTAAACCAATCCACTCATTAAATTGTCTGTATGAAAATGATAGATACATAATGATAGATGCATCAACATACATGTTCACAACTTATTCACCACGGTGACAAGACATGAAACAACATCAACCCCAAATAACATCAATGCTTCTTTTCTCCAGCTAGACCCTGAAAGATCACACGAGGATCTTTTAAGAGTGTTATTTTGTATACCAGTCTTAGTTCTTTGGCACCTAATTAATGTCATTACCCAATGAACCAATCAATTCTTTTAGCAGGATTCTAGACAAACCACATACCAAACTCTTGGTCACTACGGACCCCCACCATGTGCTTAGTTTGCTCCTTATAAGATCCTTTTAGGACAAACTTGGTGGTTTATGGAGTTAAACAAGTTATTAAATAATTATCATTGTCAGAATAGCTCTAGTCTCCAAAGCAGAGGTTCTTAAGGTTTTATCACGCCTTCCTTGAGGATTGCATGACAAGTAAAAACAACGCATTGATGGGATGCTAGAATGATCCTATCAGGTTTTAGAAAACTTGGCTGATTGTCTGACTTGGGTGTGAACTCCAACTGCAGCCAAAAAGCACACTTTTACAGGGACTGACTATAGGCTACCATACATTTCAAACAAAAAATACTCTGATAATAAACACATACCATTGGCAACTTATCCAGCATTAAGCTGGGGTCACAGAATGTTGCATCCCCCAGATCAGTGACTCTCAAACACAGAACAATTGCATTTGACAGCCAGTTTAGGTGTTCGAAGCTGATCTCTAATCTTATGCCTGAATCAATTTTGATATCTCGCTTCTGTGGCAACTCTAAAATGGGCAAACACATTTACAGTTGACTGTTAGTACAAGGGTTTAAGTAACTGTGCACCAGTACTCTTTAATGTTGCTAAAAAACCACCAATCTATTTGCACAGACAGTTTTAATGGATAAGACATGTCTCGTGTTACTTAAGGAGATCAACACTAGGTGTCAATAAATACGTTTCGATTTTTAAATCACTTGTCCAATTTTATACAATGCAAGCAGCATGCCATTCAAGTGGAACATGTTGAGGAGGGGGGGGGGGGGGGGGGGGAAAAAAAAAAAAGGGAAAAAAAAACCCCTCGGGAAAAAAGTACCCTTTTAAAAATTAGGGAAAAAAAACAAATTTTTTTTTTAAAATGAAAAAAAACAAAAAAGATTAAAAGCCACAGCAAAGTGCCAAGAACCTTTAGTAACTCCCCATTCCACAAATATGTTACTAAACACAGGAGTATTGGAATTGATATATATTTAGTGTTAAAATATGAAATGATGTTTATTATATTAAAACAAAAAAAATAATGTCTAATAATAATTTTTATTTTTTTTATAAATTTATATATTAAAATAAAAAAGAGCGGAGAGGGTGTGGAAGAGGGGGGGGGGGGGGGGGGGGGGGGGGGGGGGGGGGGGCGGTGAAAAACACAAAAGGGAATAGAAAACTCCTCAGTACAAAAGTGACCTTTTAATACTTATGGAAGAAAAACACATTGTTGTTTTGCAATGAGAAAGATCGAAAATGATTAAAAGCCACAGCAACTGTCCAAGATGCCTTAGTAATCTCACATTCACAAGATGCTGTACTATACACGGTAGTTATGGAGTACACAATAAGTGATTACTCTTTATGAAATATTGCTTAGGCCATAGGGGCCAAGGCAGCAAAAGCTGTTTCATTCAAGGAAATAAAGACTGTTCCAGGCGTTCAGATACCCAGTCTTCCCTCCCTCGTTTTTCCTCCCAGCGATTTAAATTGGTCCCCACCATCTGCCATCTGAACAGTGTGTCTATGACCCGAACACCTGGAACAGGCTAAAGGACATAAGGTGTGCCAGCTTACTGTGTATGTCAAGCCACAGCTTCTGCCGTGCAGCAGAATGTTCGTCAGGGACAATGGGATCACGCAAACTGTAACACTTGGTTGTTGTGGTTCGATACTCTGGACGCTGCCGCTCTAACCACTTGTTTCTTTTTACCTCTGCTTCAACATCTAGGGAAAAAGTTGGAAATACATGTGCTATAAATAAGATCATTTGGTGATCAATTTGCCCACTTACAAGTTGATTCACGATGTAAACAGAAATAGTGCACCCAGGGGCCACCAATTATTTCCAGAACGTAGTTACTAAAACAAGGAATGGCCTACAATGATCTACAATGACCTACAATAATCTACAATGAGCTACTATGAGCTGCTACGAGCTAAAATGAGTTAAAATAAGCCCTACAATGAGCTACAAAATGACAGACAATGATGTTTGTCGTGTGTCACACTTGGACTTGACACTAGGCTCATGGTATTAAATTGCCAAGCACATTTTGAAAAGGCAAAACAAAATAAAGCCTGATCTCGGGTAACTTGAGAAACTTGGTAATAAATTATTGCAATCGCGTTTTTACCGTTAACACTATTATACCCTGTATTGACAGAAGTCATCCAGGCACTCCCTTAGTTGGCCTAGATGGGTATGGGCCGCTGAGCAGGATTTAGCGTTACAAACAGAGCATCTTGTTGGACCGGAAGCCACTTACCGTAAACGATCTAATAAACGCCCACTCTCAAATAAACGCCTCTCATCTAATAAACGCCCCCCCCCCCCCCCCCTACGCTGTTAAGTTAGTATTAAACGTCCCCTATCTAATAAACGCCCCCCTTGAAAATTGCCCCCAAATACTACGAAATGGCGAAATAGAGCGAAATCAATCAATTTATTAATTTCATTGCTTGATTAACATCAGTTTGTGTATTATGTCATGTTCAATTTCTAGATAAGCCGTCAGGCCCGCAGTCGAGATCCTGTTAACACAAAAACGTTTTTAGCCGAAAGCATACTGTATACAGTCATGTTGAGTTCGTTAAAATAAGTTACGAGAATAAATGCCTCTCTCTTTTAAACGCCTCCCATCTATTAAACGCCCCCAGTTGGACCCGTAAAATTAAATTAACGCCCCGGGCGTTTATTAGATCATTTACGGTAAAGGGTCTTATGATGTCTTATACAGGCCAGGGTACTTAAATAAACAATTTTTCTCTTAAACAGTGTCAGAATTTGAAGGCCTCGTTTGTTCATCTATACCCAAACGTCCCTTGAAGATCCCCCCGGATCGACTGTTGGGGTGACTGTGTTTGTTTAATTTGTTTGAAAAAAAGACAACACAAAACACAACTGACGGGAAAGGTTGCAAGGGATGGTTTTCATTATCATCATACATGTATTATTACACTGTAAATTTATCTCCAAGCGTAATAATTAGAGATGCTGTCATCATTTGGGCTGTCATGCAGTAGACTAAACGCGATACGTTTATGCACACATGTCCCCTGATCTTTTTTTTTTTTTGTCTTTTTCTAAAATCTTCATTCTAACGTATTACAGGGATCTTAAGCGTATTTTCAGGTCCCCTCGTTCGGTCATTGTAGGTCCTTGTAGATCATTATAGATCATTGTAGATCATTGTAGGTCATTCCTTGTTTTAGTAACTACGATTTCCAGGATGCCATTAGTTTAAATTCCGCTGGGGTCTTAGAAAATTATTTATCATTTTCACATGAGTAAAAGTCGTAAAAGTCTTTCAGTGAGTCTTATCTCTCCATATTTCAGCAAATGACACCCTTATATTAAGGATCATGTATTAATTGACAAAAGCACCCAGGTGGAAAGTGGAGGGGGAAGGAGCAGGCTCAAAATCGATAATGTTTTTAAGTGCATTGTTCCTATTGCCTCCGATGGAAAACTAAATCAAGAACTTCAGATTTTAATTAAGGCTGGACATTACTGGTGCAAAAAGTTGACATTTTTTCAACATAAAACGGATTGTGTCCGAGATAACCCGGTTAATACGCACAACAAAGTTGGCCAAAGAAAGTGTCCGTATTAACAGGGTGCCCATATTAAGTGGGTTGAAATTAGAGAACATGTAATGGCTTTCTTTCCCCAGGGGTAAAGCAAACTGACCATGATAATGAGATGTCCGTATTAACTATAAGTGGGTGTATATAAGGTGGGTTTTGACTGTAATGATAATAGTATAATAGTACTATGATAATACACCTCTGATGGGCTGGAATCTAATATGAAAGGACACGCATACTGTACAGTAGGATACTGTAAAATTCCGAAAATAAGTCCGGGGGCTTATATTTTTCAAAGACCCTTTTTTGAGGGGCTTATATACGGAGGGAAATTTGCGTTTCAAACTCGGCTGGGCTTATACTGGGAGGGAAATTTGCGTGTCAACATCAATTGGGCCAGTTAAAAGTTAGAGGGATATTTATGTCAGTAATTTGCAGAAATTTCTTACTGAAACTCGCCTTGAGGACGTAGATCTTTCCAAAACACAACAAGGCAAGTACTTTGTCTATATGGACGGGGGGGAAATCCAGGCCAAGAGTGAAGAGTGAACTACGCAAACAGCAATATACTGTGACACTTTTTGACTGCAATCATTTGGCTCATGTAACAGTTCTTTGGCAAATGCAAAAATCTATGTGTTACTGTACAGTTTTTGCTGTTTTACTTTAAATTTGAGGGCAAATTCCAAGTACAAGCCCCGGGGGCCTTATATCTGGAGGGACGATTTAACGGAGGGTTTTTAACGTTTGGAGTTCGGGGGGAGGGAGGGGGGGGGGGCTTATATTTGGAGGGGCTTATACATGGAGGCGCTTATTTTCGGAATTTTACGGTAATTATAAACTGTTTGCTCGGCTTTATATTTACATATTTATTTCAATCGCCTTCCTTGTCATACCTGCTGCCACCTCGTGTAAAACATCCTCGACCTTAGCATCATTCATGGCATGCTTAAGCAGGTGTTTCATGTAAATCCCATTAGGGTCCTGTCTTCTTTCATAAGCTTCAGACTGAGGACTTCTACAGACACAAGTTAAAGAGTTACAATATATTTACCATGAATAAATATTATTTTAGTACGTGAAAAAAGACACAATATAGTTTGTAGGGAACATCCATATCTTTACTACAAAAGACTGTACACAGACCCTTCATCCCTTATATTGTATAACTCAGTGTCACAACATTACTGATGTTGGGATGTCCTCCTTGACTTAAGGAACATCACAGGTGGTTTGTCTGGGCACGGCCAATCATTTCGGTAATGTGGCAAGAAAAATGTGCGAAGTCAACACTATTGTTACAAAGTACCGATACCCAGGCAATAAGTGGCATTGTCTGAGGTGAATTAGTGCTATTTTCATTCTTCCACCCCATGTCAGTACTGACAAAAAAAAGGTTTAGTTCGAAATCTATGACACATATTTGTATATCCTCTGCAGGGGTATAGTTTTCATAATTATGTTATCTGACTGCTAATAATGGCAAGAGACTGTGAATCAAGAGCTCAAGAAGTTTGATGTGACATATTGGCTAAGATGGGCAGAACAGAAGAGACATGAACACAGGGGAGAGAGAAATTCTAAGAGACACTATCATCTACAGTATATCTGCAGGCACTAAGGAGAACATCGCTACTCAGTCACAGAAGATGCTGCTCTAGTCCACCTTGACCAGAGCACAATCCATGGTCTCCCCATACCCTCCACCATCTCAATAAAGCATAGAATACTGTCTCACACAAAAGATCTTGTGTCACATACGCAACATATTGTACTTAAGAACATTGAAACTCATTTCTAAACCCTCGGAATGATTTTAATAAATGGCATAAGAGGAAAAAGTCAGGTGTTATAACTATGTTTTCATTCAGCTTACAAAGGAAGCCCTTATAAATACATGTACCTGTGCCTAAATGACAGATTTTCACAGCATGTTATACACATTCATGCACGCTTCAACTTGCGAAATCCTTATGCACTAAATATAGTCTAGTAACTGCACACATAAGAATAAGGTAACATGCATACAGTTCTATCTCAAAGTCACATGCAAACACTTAAAACAATTCTCATAGAGAATACATGTAGTTTTCAAAGCACCAGGGTCTTCACATGAGACCTTATGTCTTTGAAAATGTTATGCTTATAATCTTAACTTACGTGGCAAATCCCAAAACTGCTTGGGCATTGTATGGGAACTCGTAGCTTTTGAAAGCAAAACTTGTCTCTACATTTGACCTGCAAACAAGAATTTGGTTTTAAACCCGTTAGTTGTATGTGTGGTTAACTTTTTTCTTCATTGCCACCAGCAGCAAAAGATTTAAGTAAGGTTACCATTATTTAGATTATACAACGGTCAAGTCACATTTCAGTTTACCCAGAAAATGATTCCACACAATGTAATGTGCGTATCCAGTGAGAAAGCAATGTATTTATAAAGTCAGTGACTTATAGCCTTTGCACATGGACTGCTGGCAAAACTCAGTCTTAAACTTTCTCTCAGTTGCAAGATAAAAACATATTAATGGTGAGGTAAAAAAATATAGTCATGTAGGCATTGACGCATACTGCTTTGAGCGTGCTACAATAGTATAAAATTTTAAGTCAACTGGTGAATTGATTGCATTTATAATGATAAGAGGGTGCTAATTCGTTGATACACTTGTAGACACAACAGATTTAAGGAAGTTATGGCATGCTTACTACTAGGGCTAGCCAAATACAGTAGATAGTTTGTCAGCCTTAACTGCACGGCCCTCAATTATACATGCAGCATGGCGATTAAGCTTGTCTAAGTCGGATTTACTACCCTGATCACAGCTCTTCCAAACGACCGTACAATAGTCAAATAAAGGCACTACCATCGTATTATATAATGTAACACAAAGACTAAGGTAAGACTTTCTGAGGGCAGCACAGTTTATGCTAGCCTAGAGGAATTCTTCTTGCCTAATAAGCTAACGTGTTCTTTCCAGGACAGGGTTCATCCACAGTTACACCAAGATATTTTAAAGTATCCATCCTCTGTAAACTAGTGTTGTCTGCTGCAACTGAAAAACTGTCAACTGCATTAAGCCCCTGGTGGGTACCTACTAGCATTATTTTAGTCTTGGAAACATTTAAAAGCATCAAGAAGTTAGACTGAAACCAACTTATTAATCTACCTGGATCCGATGAACACCTTGACTCATTTTCGCTAACAGATTTACCGGCCAAAAAAATAAGCATGTCAGAGGCATAGAGCTCCACACAGCATGCTCTTACAGCAAGGGTAAGATCATCGATATACATTATAAATAAGAGTGGGCCTAAGATATTACCTTGCAGGACCCCAAACTGAATCGGCATAGGTTAAGAGATAGTGTCATTTACACTGATGTTTTGGGTGTGGCCAGTTAGGTTAAAGAGCGTAACCATTGTGACATTAACATTATCTTCCTACCTTTTCCGACAAATGTCCAAAAGAAATACAATCAACTCTGTGCGATATCTATTCATTTCATCAAGCATCTTCTGAGCGCAAACAGCTTGCTCTGGTACCCAAGCCCCCATGGTGTCAACAGGAACCAAATAATTCTGCCCTCCCTCTTCAAATCCATGGCCGGCAAAGTATACTAGGCCATATACGCCTTCACCAAGGAGTTTATAAAAGATATCCAGGGCTTGATACATTTCATTTCTTGTCAGGTTCATGAGTGAGATGACTTTAAAACCCATCTCCGGCTTCCGTAAAATTGACGCAATCATCTTTGCATCACTGCATGTGTGTACCAGAGGACTTTCATCGACTGGTAAGCTGACATAGTCTCGGTTGCCAATGACGAGGGCAACTTTATCTGTGGCTAAAACAATGCAAAAGACACAAAAGCACAAATTATTTAATAGTTGGTCAGTCAGTGCAGTCAATTATTCTATGTGAGCACAACTATGCAAAGATGTATGTGAAACAATGACAGATATAAATAATTCATTGAAAAAATAAATTATTGGAAAGTGCACCTAAAAGTGTTCTCTTCCCAGAATATCCTTACTTAACCAACTATTAGAAGTAATAAAAAGCACATGAAAAACTAATTTCTTTTCCAGACTTTGTCTAGTAGATAGAAGCGGAAACTGAATTAGGATCAGTCTAGTTTGTTGTAGAATTTTTGATAAGAATTTAATCAATTATTCTTCCAGTCAACATCACACATAGTTACATAGTTATCCATTCATACGTTTACAAATTTGGACTGACAATAAGACTGCTAGGTCATTATAAATAATAAAAATAATATGAGTAATATTAATAGTAATATAATTCATGGTTACCTTTTTGAGTTAGCTGAGGTGATCTTCCACCTGGCACTGTCAAGGGAAGGAAATGTATATAAATGATATTTTCAAATAAAAGACATTGTTTGAATGTTTAAATAATATAATATAATATTGTTCAAAATGAAAGGCAGTGACAGATACAACCTTAAAAATATATACATCAGTGTGTGCATATAGCTATAAACGGTCACATCAGCCTTCAAGCTGCTTTATATCTACTCAATCAACATGATAATGATCAGTAATTATTGCAGAGGCTGTATGATAATAGGGGACTTTTCAGGTCCTATTTTGTCAACTTAAAAAATAATTAATTCTTTCTCTAAAAAAGTAACATTCTAATACTATACGGTAGTCTGGGGGGGGGGGGGGTGGGTGGGGGGGGGTACTCCGGATTTCAAGAGAGAGGGGTGATTAAAGGGGGGCAAAATTAAAACCCAACAATTCCCTAGTGCTTCCAACAAAACCCAAAAAAAATGCCATGCCAAATTTCCGAACCATAAAAATTTCCAGAAAGCCTTCAATAATATTACACGAAACATAGAAACATTAGTTTTGAATACCCCCAAAAATCTGTAGTTAAATCAACCTCCCCAAAAATGTACTTTCCAAAATTTTGCTACCTAAAAAATCCTGAAATCAAAAATTTCAAACCCCAAAAAATCCTTCGATCACCCCTGTCACTTGAAATGCTGAGTACCCCCCTGGGAATATAGTACCAGACAATTTTCAGTGAATTTGGGCTATGCAAAATAAATTAATATCGTAAGTTCCTGGCACTACCCTTATCTAAGTCAACAAAGAAACATAATATACAAAAGGAGGAGAGGGTCAAATAATGTCAATTGTGATTCTGTTTTTTATAGTGTAAGACGTCATTTCTTGTCAGATAAAGGAAAGCCAACAGAGCATTATTTAATGATGTTATAAGTCTGACAAAATTTAAAACAGTCAAACCTGTATATAACGGTCACCCTCAGGAAAAGGCTCGTGACAGAGTGAGGCCTTTTGAATAAAGTTTGTTATGATTCACTAATTGTTTGATCAAAACCAATTTATAATTTTGGCGATTGTTATATACGAGTAAAAAACAATGGAATTGTGCATTTAGGACTTCCACAGTGTAACTGCATTTGTTTTACTCAGGTGACTGCCATATACAGGTATAACTTTACAGAAAATCTAAGGCAAAATTTTTGGGAGATTGTATGGTCACGGTGACAGTATTATACAGGGTAACCACTACAATGGGCCGTCATATACAGGTTTGACTGTACTATAGTCCAACTGAACAATTACTGATATCACAACAGACAAAATCTATAAGATCAAAATATAAAATAACAAAAGTAAAGGAGTTTCAAATCCTACCTGATCGGCCAAGGGGACAATTTTGTTCATCATCAGGAGCTGGGGCTGAAAAATTGAAAGAACAAGAATTAACAAGCAAGCACAAAAAATAAATACAATGCTGTTGATATGTACCTTTACCTTCTATTTCTGTTAAATAACCTTGTCAATAATATGATGAGGTTCAATCCTTTCCTTGGTTCAATTTCTGTTTTCCCTTGTTCGAAACTGACTACATGCATTACCATGCTCCACCACACAGGAAACCATATAATTTAGACCAGAGAAAAAATTGAATCTCAACATTATATCACACTGAATACCAGGTAAAAATTTTCAGTTAATAATGCACCAAATGAAAGTTTCTTTTTGTTTGACTTCAATATTATGGTACCTGTAAGTAACCACCATTACCAGGGCTATAACCTTCAGGGAGGTTGTTACTAGCACCTTTTACCTTCACTAATGAACATTTTTTTCTTGATAATGAAAGTTTTATAGGCAATATTAAGGGCAGGAAAGAGAGGAGGAAGGTTACAAGAAAAGAGCTTGCTTTGTAAAAGGACAAATTCTGCCCTTTTACATGGCATCTGACAAGAATTATAGTGTTAGGGTATGTTACATTCTGGAACAAGGAGAACACACCAAGACATGCTGCAAAACCCTTCCCTAGGGATACTTGAGTCACTGAAACATTCCACACAAGTCAACTTTTTATTTCAGTGGAATGATGGTTTTCAGTGCCATAAATACCTGACTAATCTATTTCTAAAATATGGCCAATCAAAACGCCTTTTGAAGATCTTTGGATCTTACTTTTTAAGCCCACTGGAACACCCCTGAATTAATACCCACTACCTTGCATGAACCAGGAGATACACTTGAAGAAACAAATTCCATCCCTGAAGGTGATAAAGCACTCACCCCTTCTCAATGTAGCCTGGATTTGAATTCTGGAGTTGAAGATGTCACAGTGACATGTGAATTCAGTTTGTGGCGATTGGTTCTTGTCCTTATTTGGAGAGGTTTTCTCTGGGGTTTCCAGTTGATCACCCTCCACAAGAACCAACAATTCTAGACTCCACTGTGATCTGGGGTCTTAAATTCCCATGCTCCAGGTTAGCTACATTAACAATCACTCCACTTGCAAGGTTACACAGGGTTTCGTACAGATTTTTGGATCCAAAATTCAAGACTTTTTGCGGACTTTTTTCCAAAAGAGATAGATAAATAGGTCAATAGAGACCTTATAAAAAGCAGGACCAAAACTTTTTCTATGATGTGCTGCAAACTTACAGGGCAAGATTAAATAAGATTTGACCAAAATGAAGAAAAAAATCACTTATAAAGCATTTATTGTAGCTTTGGAAAAAAATAAAATAAAACCCAAGACTTTTTATGATTTTTCCAGACTATCTCCATTTTCCAGACTTTGTCCAGGTCCGGAAAATTTCTGGGCAAATTTCAAGACTTTTTCAAGGATTCAAGACTCTGTACGAACCTTGGTTACATTACACTGGCGATAACCATGAGGAATCAGGCAAAAGGCAACCTTCACTATGAGATGATCCTGACTGCAGATGACGTTTCAGTGGACAGACAGAAAAGGGAGACTTACCTGATAAAGTCTTGAAACATCATCACCAAACTATTTTGAGGACATGATTATATGGCAAAGTAAGGGTGCAAGAGGGAGCTAAACACCAGCAACTAACCACAAACATCTGTTCACAGTCATGTGTGTAAATGTATGCAAGCACAAATCTACATGCACCAATGTGACACCAAAAACAAAAAAAGAAACGGAGGACATTTTATACCTCATGCACTTAGTTGCGCATGAGTAATAAAGATAACACCTCATAAGCTAAAATTAGGCTAATAGACAACGTTTTGGCTGCCTGAAACTAATTTGCTCTTTTTAAGAGCAACAATAAGTGGAATATTAATACAGTTAGAAATTTGTCACTTGTTAATGATAAATCACCTAAACTTAGTTTTAACCGAAAACAAAACCTAGGATAAAAGTGAAAACATGAGGTACATATATGTAATTAAAAATTCACTATCAATCAATCTCATTTAAAAGCTTATACACAAAGTCTTGAATGTTCGATTACTTTAATTTGTACTTTGAACCTCAAGTCAACAAGAATATCAGACACTTACATGACTGCAAAGGACAACTCTTTGCAACCATGATAGTCAGTGAACTTTTCGTTTTTCTTGGAAGTACACTGTTATTACAATGTATTTGTTAGCACTCTGGGTCAGCGCTACTAAAAACTGAACATTTGTGACATTCAACTATGGTTTTCTTACAGTCATACATGACCATGCCCTGCAGTGGTTGCTAACCAGAAACCAAAAACAAAAAGATGCATATTTCTGGCCTTAAAAGAGGTCAAGGTCATTTAAGAAATCTGAGAAGTTGCTGCCTATGGGAGAGGTTACAGTGTATAAAACGGTATTTGAGTGAGAAACAAACTGGTCATTTACAAAGTGGTGGTATGCTTATGAGAAGTAATCGCTATGACAGATTGTACTGAAGAATGGATTTTACCTACAACATATACAATTCCTAAAATATGGTTCGGTATTTCAACATACCTGTTTAAACAACTGAATTAAAAATATCCACAGGAATTTGTTTCACACAATTTAATCATCCAGGAACTGCATTGTTTTTTTTAAATTAATTGCTAAGAAAACATAGCAAGTTTTCAGAGAATTTAGAGAACCTCCCCAACAAAATTAATTTGCAAACCATATATTCAAGACATTCTCTTTTTTTCAGAATTTTTGTTCAAATGGAAATTACCCAGTCTTTTAAAGTTGCGCGAAGATCAATTCCCAAATAACTTTCAATATTCCGAGACCTACCACGAGCTCCTTGCAATGTGGCAACATTACTGAGTGCATCACCAGCGCTGTTTTCAACTCGGCAACAATAATTGCCTTCATCTCTGTAATGAAATGGTTGGAAATTCAACTCTGCCCTGGTCTGCTGTACAAGCACAAATCCATCTTTATACCACTGATATGTCACAGGTTGCTCCAGGACTTCAACTCTGAGGCTCAGTGAGGGGTATCCATCAGGAACAATGTAGGATTGAGGATGACGTATGATAACAGGTGGATTTTTAGCTGACGAAGGAATGGCAAGAAAAAAAATGTATGTATATAAAGAATCAAAAACAGCGTGCAAAGAAAGAAGTGTCCGATAGCCCAGGGCTAGTGGCTTTTGCTATTGGGCAAGTGAATTCTGTTTGAAATCAATTCTGCTCGTCAAAACGTTTTTGGGGCTAGTTGAAATGTCGTCTGGGCTAAGTGGCAAGCTGTAAAAATGATTTTCTCTACACCCTGAAAAGCATAATTTTTTAACAGCTATTGTAATTCCAGCTTTCATTCAATACATTAGGCCCTAATGATCTTCAGGTGCTGGATGTTCTATTTGAAACTTAATGACTGGCTCAACAGCTGATGGAGGCATTTAGCTGTTACATTGCAACAGTTTCACACAACTGGCCACAGATTCTCATCCTCTCATCAACAAACAAATAGTTCATAAGCACTGGGGATCAAAACTAATAAGCAAAGATGACCTGCTTAAATTGACTATAATTAAGAATAAAATTCAGAGTTTGTGACTTTCAATGCCTTCATCATGTTGATGTTGCATTATGATACTCAAACAGTTTCCATCTGCGAATTTTTTTTTACTTATCTTACTGAAACTGGTTCCTGGAATTTTTAACTTAATATTTGTCATTTCAGGAAGTCAGTCTTCTTTTATCTGATTAACTGATATCACAACTTGTAAATTATCTTTAACCCATTTGCCCCTGAACCACCCGTAACCGCCCGTGCAGATCCACGTCCTTTCTACCCTTTGTGACGTCATCAGTTTTAATGGTCAAGGACAACTGTGTCCGCTAACTTGTGCAGAGTGAAGAGATCTTTCAAACCATACCAGAATGAGCACAATTCAGTCAAGGGCACCGGAGAAAGAGGCCAAACACCATGTAACATTGACCTGAAAATCTCCATGAAAATCTTGTTCCATTGCCCACCTACCGTTCCTCTCACCTAATCCAAAGATCCTAAAAGCTTTCCTAAAAACTATTCCCACCAAGATGAAGCCTACTAAATGCCCAGCAAGAGAAAAAAAATAAGGCAAGAAAAGCGAAAAAAGAGGGGAGGAGAGAAAGTGAAAAGTAAATGTCAAGACTGCTGTGTCACATTTAAACCCAAAAACTACCTCGAAATTTTGCTTTCTGCACATGCCCGAATTTCGCAAGCTGATATTTTGCATCTGGATCAGAAGGCCATGAAGTGTACGACCTGTAAACCGTTTTGTGGTAAGTTTTACCTCTTTATAGCACGACAGCGACCAGAAAGCCACTCGCCTAGCTTCAAAACCCCTTTTTTCTGCAAAATCTCCAGCGAATGGGTTAATATATCTTGTTTTCAGGTACAATAAAATTTGTTGTTGTTGTTGTTGTTGTTGTTGTTGCTGTTCTACCAATGCAATGCTCTTGAAAATTTGGCAAGGGAAATTTTTAACCTAATACTCCACTTGATTGTAGTTTTAACTTGATTGTATGAATAGACTGCTACGTATACTGCTTAAATGTTTTATGTCATTACATACCATATGGTGGTCTTACTTGAGGGGAATCACCATTTGGCACTAAAAAAGGCAAAAACATATATTAAATGAAAATAAATTTTACTATCTTAAGATAGATCATAAAGCTTAAGAGGAATCCTTCTTCTTAAAATACTTATTAATAATTTAGATGGATATTTAGATCTTTGGAGTATGCAGCTTTTAGGCATTGATTTCATCTCAAAGCATCAAGATCTCCAAATACATGTCGTGGTTTAATGTTATCATCGGTTTTAATTTTATTTTCCTTTGTTTAAAACTCCTTATCCTACATTACCATACCCAAAAACAAAGAAAGATAAAATTTAAACCAAGGATAAAAGTAAACGACGACATATACATTTTTGGGGTTACATGTAAAATTTAGCTAAATCAAAATAATTATTTATGCACACGTGATAAGATCCTGGACCAACCAGGGGAATATCTTAGTCAGTTAATACAAGGGAATAAATTGGATGCTCTGACCCTGGGGAAGAGAAAAGTTCACAGCATTGTTTTCAATTTGAAGGAGTGGAGTGGGGATTTAAAAAAATGTAATATTGTAAAATCACAGACAGCAACTAAAGCGATTTACAAAGATTTATTGCTTTCCCCAACCCACGAATATCAGTCTGTGTTGATTTGTTCAACAAACAATTAGTGCAAATCCAGCCCAGATGTATTTGATCATGGCAATTTGCAGTTAAACCCGGGTTTAGAGTTACGTACTGTAACCGACCTCCCTAGAAACTTGGCCTCACAATATGTCGTGAAAGAGGGGATATGCAATTTAGATGACATGGGCTTTGATATTGTAGTGTGACCTGCAAAACTTCTTTTAACAAACCTGGTGATGGCAAAACTTGTAACTCCACTTTGTTGCTTTTTTCTGCATTTATTCTGTTGGACACAATGCACACATATTTGCCACTGTCTTGCAAAGTAACCGGATCAAAGGTAAGTTCTTCATCAATCCCATCAGGAAGCTCTGTTCCATCCTTCACCCACTGATATTGTGGAGCTGGGTAGCCTGTGGCCTTGCATCTCAAGGTCACAGTTGAACCAACACGGACTGGCTGTGACTTGGGTTGCTCGGTGATTTGCACCTCCTCTGTAAAGTGTCCAAACATATTATTAAATTGATAAACATCAACACGGGCATTTGTCACGCATTATAGATAAACAACAAGGTACTTGAATGTGAACAGTGTAATTTTAATACTCTCAGAATTACCCTCTAGAAAAAAAATATGGAAGTACATGTATTATAGTCTCAACATGCCCTTTATAACACATACATGCACATCAACTACGATTGCAAGGTACTTTGCTGAAATAAAACAAAATTAAAGTTGCTAAGGAATACAAAATTAATAAAAGCAATGGACCACGACAAAATAACACAGGAAAGGAAAACAACAAAGCAGACACTTACAAATTTGGGTGACCTTGAACACGTTAGAGAGAAAAATTAAATTACGATAGATAACAGGACTAAACAAGATAACTTTGCAAACCTTGAAGCAAATTTTCCTGAAGTGAATAATGAAATTTACACAAATAATCACCTGTACTTGATGGATGTAAGAGGGTGTACGTATAACCAATGTTTTTAATGTTACACATACACAAAAAATTTTCCACCTTAATTATTACTAATAATGATTATACAAGTAGATTTCCATTACCATGATATTCCAAGATGTCTAATGCTGTATCATGGCCAATTTTCTTTAGCCAGACAACCAACTGTTTGACAGTCTTGCACCTTTGGCCCAAGTCTGTTAACAAAGCCATGGAAGGACTGCCTACCATTCTTGCTCTTTGATTTTCAAAGGATGAAACCTAAACGGTAAGAATGGAAATAAATAAGGTTAATATAAATAATTTTAAATGTTTATTTTTCTTTACATTTCTGTGTTACTTACAGTGAGACTACTCAAACTCGAACACTTGGCAGAAGATTATCCAATCAAAATGTTTTTTAAAAACAAAAGATTCTCCAGTTCTTTGTAAACAGACCAATAACATTAATAAATTTTTAGGGTTGTTTCATGAGAGATCAAGTAAGTTCAAATGGTTTTAAAGTTTTTAACAGTTGCCTAGTTGAACCTTGAATTTTATTTGTCCATTTCCAAAAAACACTTGAAAATCTTTTGTTTTCAAAAAACGTTGTGATTGGATAATCTTCTTCCAAGTGCCCCCTGGTTTCAGTAGTCACACTGTAAATACATTAACTTAGGAGCAAGATGTTTTTTGAAATAAGGGTTACACTTAAGTTTATTCAGTGAATTCTTTACTATAAGTAAACACAAGCCTCATGATCAGTGAATAAATTCTCAAACATCAACTTCCTCGCATATTTTTTTGTATTTTTAATGCAGGGGACAGAGGCCACTAAACTAAGCAAAGTTTCAAAGGTTTCAGGTCAACATAAGTTATAAAATGCGATAAGCTAATTAAAGCAAATCAAGCAAATGGTCAAGACAGCTGCAAAAATGTAGAAATTTTCAAAAATAATGCGACTTTTTTAATTTTAACAAACATGTTTCCACGGTACATCCATCATTGTATGTTATGAAAGTTTAAATACAGTGGTAAAACGTGCCTGTTACAATTTTTCTGATAACTTAAATATTTATGTAGCCTTTTTTTATTCCAACACAATGTAACATATAAATTGTGACAGGCACGTTTTATTGCTGTAAACTTTCATAACCATCACACTGCAATGACGGATGTACCGTCAAAACATGTTAGTTAAAATTTAAAAAGTGGCATTATTCTTGAAAATCAAGAAAAGTGGAAATAATTTCTTGTTTCAATTAAATTCCAAATTTCACCATTAAGTAGAGTAGAATATGGACATTTTATAGCAAATGCTACTGGAGATGGTCTGCTTAAGGAAGTTTATTTCAGCTTCTGAGGATGTCCATGACAGCTTATAAGACATTAAAAAAGTAGGTGAAAAATTGCTGGGACTGCAGCTTGGTGACCATTTACAAGTCCACCAAGAGAAGGTGTCCATTCACAACACCTGAAAATCAAGTTTACGCAATATAACTATTATTAGTCTCGTTAATGCATAAGTGAGTGTATTTAGTACACAAAAAGGCGGTTGTGGTCCCAGGCGTTCCTAGCGGTGACTGTGGAAACTAGGAATAAGAATCATTGCACGACCAAAGCCATGCATGTTTTGCAAAGAAAGCTTAGGAAAGATTAAATTTAGAGCTTTTCCGGAACAGTTCAGTCCACAAATTGTATCGCTTGAAAGTATTGATTACTTTGGAACAAGTGAACACTTCAGTGGTCGGAAAAAAAAGAAGAAGAATCTTATAATTAGCAAAACTTCAATCGTGAGTGTTGTAAACTTTCAGAATTGTATGCAAATGAGTCTTTTGGCGATGTTTGAAATGACGCACCATGTTCTCATCACGTTTTTTATCTCTGGCAATGACGTAATTTCCCTCGAATCATGGCCCTTGAATTTTTGTGTAATTATACAGGCGTATAGCCTGCGACTGCAGATGTGTTTCCGGTTGTTGCTAACACATGTACTAAATCAATTCAGAAACAAATTGTTGAATATTATATAAAAAGTACCATCAATAAATTAAAGAAGAAAGTGAAAAACCCTTTCACGAGAAAATCCTGTTTTGTGTAGAATTAATCACCTGCTCATTTCTTTTCTAGTCTCCAAGCAAGCGAGACTAAATGCCGATTGTAAGAGCTCTCTTGTTAAACTATACTATGTACCTGTTCTCTTGAATACATAGTACTTGGCATCACACTGATGAGGGCCTTCCAGTCACGAGGACCATCCGACTCCATGTCAAGCTGATCTGCTAATTTCTTAAGAATGCCATAAGGGAGCTTTCTTATTTGCAGTTCCATGTACGCCATGTTCAATACATCCAACTATAAACAGAAAACATGCTGTCAGTATATTATAAACAGCAAATAAATAATGGTTACCAGGACTGAGTGGAGTCCAATTCGGTCTGTAATCATATGAGCCATTAACAAAGCGGAAGTCCGATTTGTTTAATTCACAAGTACGATTAAAGACCGAATTGGACGACACAAACTTCTGTCACCAATTAATCATAACTTTAACAAAATTTGTGATATACAACTGGCTCTTTTCTAAAATCAAAACAGAAGAAATTCCAATTTTTTTTTTTGCTAGCAGTGATTAAAATCTGTTTAAGCGCGAACATGATGGCACCTACTGCCCTATTAAATTGTCCTACAAAGGCTGAAATCAGGGCAGTTGATAGCCAATCAGATTTGAGAATTTTGTTACAGCTATGATTATAAACAATATTGGATGAAGTTTTTGTTATATCCCAGGGTGCAAAGACAGTCAGTTTTACAGCCTGCCAATTCGGCAAGCTGTAGCTAGCATGTACTAGTCCCAAAACCCTTTTTGATTTGCAGGATTGATTACAATCCTTCTGTACTTTAAATTTCCTCAAAAAACATCACTTGCCTGGCCTATCGGACAAATTATAACAAAAATCACTAGCCCAACAGCAAAATCCACTAGCCCTGGGATATCAGACACGACTTTCTTTGCATGCTGTATCTGGAATAATCAAGGTCGAGGTGAGTGTTATCACTAGCCAAGCTAAAGGCTGAGGCTGGCATGATAACACTTGATTACTTAGGACATCTCAAAAACCGAATCTAATAATTGTCTTTTTAATACATTGTAAAAAAAAAAATGACAAACACACCATTGCAAGGAACCTGAATTGATATAATATTGTTACTGGAAATCATGCAGTAAGCGTGTAACCTTAGTACAGATTAGTCAGTTATCTTAGTAAGGATCAGGTAAGACAAAGAAAGACAATACACACGTTCACTCTCAGATGTAATTCACTGTAGATGGTCATGTTACATTGGTACTCAATTATTAAGTCACGTGTATCAATGATGTAATCACCACACTCCTCCTTCTTCAGATCAGTTCCTCAAAATAAATGGGGGCTAAACTAATTCTCCGTTATACTTAACATGGACCTGATCAGTAATACATATTCAATGTTGGTACTGTAAGATTGAATTAATCAAATAACAATCACAGTCAATGTCAGTAACGAAACAAGTGTTCAGTGTTCATAATCATTGTTGATAGCATCTGATCAATGTTCAAAGTTGATTCAACCTTTATTTGGTGCAGTCCTTCAGATGACCATCAAATGTGGATTTGCTCAGTGGTAGGGTTTGATTGGTAGGCGTTGCCTCAGTTGGCACTTGTTGGGCAACAATTGGCACTTGTTGGGTAACAATGCCTTGGGTGACTGTTGGTACTGCCGCTGGTGTTGTTTTCCTGGGCGGCGGCTGGTACTGCTTGGCATTTAGCTGCTGGTGGTACTACTGGTCTTGCAGTAGGTGCTTTCCTTTGTTTCTCTCTTGCTGGGATGTAGGTTGTTCTGAGCGGCTTGAATTTGGATGCATCTTGGCATACTGTTTTCCCATCATTGAATCTCTAGGCATGGATTGTGGAGCCAATTACCTTTGTGGCTATGTAGATGTACGGTTCAAATGGGGTGTCTCCTTTGTGTTTCTTGTCGCATTTCAAAAGGACCGCCTCTCTGACGTTGAACTTGTGCTCTTTGGCTCTGTGTCTTTTTTTTGCTGTCTCGTTTCCTGATTTCTTCATCCCAGTTAGGTCTCTTCTGTTGGGTAGTGGTCAAGTCGTGTACGGATTTCTCTGTTCATGAGTTATTCGTACGGCGCAGTCCTTGTTGTGGGGTGTGGCGTCTCCCTGTATGCTTGAAGCATGTCATAGTTTGCTGCCTGGATATCAACACCTTCTGTGCGGGCTATAGCGGCTGTCTTGTTCATGAGCTTGTTGAAGCCTTGCACTTGTCTCTGGGCTTTGGGATGTCGTGGTGTGACTTTTTTGTGTGTGAACCCCATTTCCGCTGCAAATTCTTTGAGGTCTTCAGAGTTAAACGGTGGTCCATTGTCTGACTGGACGGTCTTGAACTCCCTGAGTGACGAAGATTTTTTCATTTTCTGTCGTACTGGCTTGATGGCTGTTGAGTAGACAAACTCGACCTCTGGGTATCTTGAGTATTGGTCGGTTATGACCAGTGCATACTCTTTAGATTTCAATGGTTTGCCAAGGTCTCTCGGGCGGTTTTGTCATTTTGGCTGGTTCTGTATGCTGTGTGTTTGTCACCATCTGGCACTCAAAGCAAGTGCTCACAACGGTGTCAATGCGATAGTTCATGGTGGGGAACCACTACTTTTGGCGTAGTATTTCTTTAGTCTTGCTGATACCCAGGTGTCCTTGCCTGTGGGCTATCTGGATAATCTTGTCTCTCAGTGATTCAGGGGGAATGATTCTGTCAATTCTTAGGATTAGTCTGTCTGCCATGTATAGCTCTGCTCTCAGTTTGAAGTATGGCTTGAGGTCTGGGTCAGTCTTGATCCATTTGTCGGTTTGCATGGCTGCAGCAAGCTTTGTATGTTCTCTGTCTTTTGCCGTTTCTTCTTTGATTTTGTCCAGGACTACAGCGTGTTCTGATTGGCAGTGGCCATGACATATTTCTCTAGGCGGTTGGTCCCTGTTTCTGGCAGTGGATGTCTGGACAAGAAGTCAGTTATGTTGGTTTTACAAGGGATGTGAATCATTTCGAAGTCAAGGTTCTGCATTTTCAGGGCGAGTCTTTCAATGTGTGGTGGCAGTTTAGCTGTTGGGTTGTTGAATAGTGGAAGCAGTGGCTTGTGGTCTGTTGCTAACTGGAACTTTGGTGCGCCAAGAAGGTACATCTGGAGCCTTGTTGTCGTGAATTCTGCTGCAGGTGCTTCTCTCTCAATTTGAGAGTATCTCTTCTCTGTGTCAGTTAAGGTCCGGCTCACCTAGTGTACTGGTTGAAATCCTTTTCCAGTCTTCTGAAACAGTCCTCCTCCTAATCCCTCTGGGCTTCCGTCACAGATAATGAGGGTTGGGCATTCTGGATGGTACGGAATAAGCACTGGGGCTGCTGTAATGGTTGGAAACGTCTCGTCACCAATGTAATGATTGGGTAAGACAAAGGAAGACAACACACGCGTTCACTCTCAGATGTAATTCACTGTAATGTCATTCTTAGATGGTCATGTTACATTGGTAGTCAATTATTAAGTCACGCGTATCAATGATGTAATCGCTACAATCTGCTAGCAGATAACTAATCTGTAGGTAACGCACTGATTTCTAAAGTTAGCTGTAGGTTCTTTATAGCTAATGAGAAGACAGAGAGTACAATGTATAATAACAGAAATAATTCACCAGTACACGACTGTATCTATCAAAGGAGAGGCGCATATATGAGCCTGAATCATAATTATGTGTTATAAAAACCAGTTGTCAACACCCTGTGTATATAATATCTATGATGATGGTCCAGTGAACAGCATTAGATGTTGTGTACAGATCCTATTTTACGATTTGTCAGTATTCCTTTAGGGCAATCTTGCATGGTATATGTGACCTCTGCAGGATGGAACCAAGACTTTGAGCATGGCTATCTTTAGTAATCATTGAAAAGTCCTCTGTGAACTTTCAAAGACCTTGGAAGTTGTCGCAATATCTCCTTCAATGTTCGGAAGCCATTGGAAACTAGGGTGATACAGACGCAAAAATCTCATGCGTTTTTACCTACACTGTATCACTATGAGGCTGGTCAGTGTTTCTGAGCAACCATACATATAAGGATATAACCAACAGCAAAAACAACGATAACAATAGGATAAAGTGACATTCTCTTTGTCTTTAAATTTGCTCAAACTTCAAGGACCGTTCAATTATTTTATTTATAAGATAACTTGAGTTATGATCATGTATAAGGGCTTTCTCACCAACCTTAGTCAACCTATGTTTTACTGGAATGAGGTTGGAATTGGACTCAGGTTTCCCTCCAAAATTAGATTGACACAAATATCTGTCTAATATGAAGACGGTTTTTTTGATATTACGCAGTTCCTACCATAATTGAATAGACAGATTTTATGATTCACTGTGAGATTTGGAAGCTAAATCCTGAGACCGTGAGTTGACTGCCCAAACCAAGTCTCACGGTCAAACTGTGAGAGTTGGAAGGTCTAACACTTCACCAAAGTACAGCACAGAACCTATCCAATATGTGAAGATCGCCGTGGCTAGCTTCGCTCTACCACAGAAATTGTGCTGAAATCACTGTTCTTGTGTGTGAGCAGAAGCCTTACCTATCCAGTATGATTTTAGTGCTGGGCAAAAGATATTCATTATGGTGTGATCATAGCCTGAGTTTAATACAAGGATAGAGATTTGGGAATGTCAATAGACCTTTGTAAAAATTATGTTGAAGGGGATCACTTTTAAAATATGAAATTACATCTTATTAATCAAATACTTCCCAGCTGGCTTAATTAAGTGTCATAAATAAAGATCTACCATTTTAGCCACATGCAAAATACATCCTGAACTTCTGAGAGTCACCTATATGCCTCTGAAAAGCATGTAAACTAACAATGTTTAAACGACTACAGTCTTAGTTAATTCTCTCTTCACTTAAGCCTTAGCTCATAATTGAACGTCTCAACGTTTCGCCTTTCAGGTAGTCCACAACAGAAAACTGAAAAACAAGAAAATGACCTGACGTAATTCCCCGAAGTAGAGAATTCTTACACGATTTCTTTATAACCAAGTGAATCGAAGATTATCTGTATCTTATAATCTTAAAACGACCATGGAATATAAAGAAAAAAAAAAGACTTGCTCATGTTTATTAGCTCAGTTTTATAATATGATGGAAATCAAGTTTAAAACTCACCTTAAAGCAATCGTTATCTTGTCGGACGAGAAATAAAGCTTGATCGTGCAGAAGCGGGAAGTCGACAAAGCAGGAAGACGTTTGATGAATGAGATTTATGTCAACTTCAAAACCTCACGGACTTCACTCCTACGTTTGAAGGTTCCGTTTCCTCTGAAACTTTGCACATGTATATTCTGAGAGTATCACTTTCAATTTAAAAGAATACCAACTAAAGCGTCAGAACGTAAAATTGTAAGCGTCGGGAAGGCCCCCAGTTTCTAACATCTTCCTGGAAACACCGGAAGTTATAAGAGAGAATTACATGTAAAGGAAAGCCCCAGCCTACCCTGATAGGTAGCCCCCCTATGCAACATGATAACGAACTCGAACTTCAGCGTCCAATTTTAAAAATTAATTTTGGAAATAATATTGTACTCGAAATATAAAATTTATCTTTGCGAAGTTCCAAAACATTTCAAAACAGTCTGACGGTTTATTAACTGCGATTTCGTCGTTTCCCAAGACCCTACCCGATGGGAAATTTTTCCGGCCTCGACTATTGAGCATACTCCGACGGCGCGAAGTTGCTGAGTGTTTGCAGGCTCACGCCACAAGGTGCAGAGTCTCTCATGGTTACCCTGTTTTTCATCTTTACGAAATCACCAAACTGTTAGCACCCTGAGGAAAAAAAAAAAGATCGATCGGTTCGGAAAAAAATGATTTTAAAGTCGCGGCGTTTTAAAAAGTTTATAAGTTAAGATTTAAAATGTTCACACTATTTTGAAGCAGAGCGAACGTCGGGAGGCAAGTTCACCTTTGCACTTTTCCCTCTCGCTTTCCTTCGCCTTTCGACGTTAACAACGCAGGCTACTTTCGTATTAAAACGTAACTGTCGAGTACAGAGATGCCAACCTCTGGAGATCTAAAATCTGCTAGACGCTCTTTTTTTCACTACCCCTCCTTTCTTTGCCCCCTATTTTTTTTTTTTCTTTCTTCCATCTCCCCCCCACACCTCCCCCGACTCCCCCCCCCCCCCCCGCCCGCACCCCCCCCCACGTTCTCAACCAACACAAAATGAGCAAAGCACGGAACAATAA